GTTCATATGCTTCAAAGTTTCTGGCATGACTTTCAATGTTCCTGCAACTGTTATCTAAATTGTTTAGTGTATCTTTTACGCTTGTACTTGGATTCTCTAAAGGTGCACTTGAACCAAGGTCAAAGTTCAATATTATGTCGTCTGCTGTAAAAGTTGTAAAACTTGTATGTGTATGAGTCTTATTTGCTTTCTTCTCTAACTCATCGTTAACATAAGTTTTATCTGCTTTAAGGTCTAAACATCCTGAAACCCATCTGTATCGGCTTTACTTTTTAAAATCTTCGATGTCCATTCATGATACCATTCAACCCTTTCTTAATTTCATTATCTTTTTCATCCACATATTCCTTATCCTTTCTTCTCTAACTTACTAGCCACATATTCCTTATCCGCTTTCTTTTCAAGGCTAACGTTTAAGTCTGTTATTTCAGATATAGAATGTGTATGAGTCTTTTTAGAATATTCGTTTTCAGCTCTTGTCACTTCACTTGACATTTTATTGTCAACATATGTTTTGTCTGCTAGTTCAGGATGAGTATGTTCTTTTGTTGCATAAGCATTGTTAGCTCTTTCTTCTTCTTTTGCTATTGCATCGTCTACATATTCTTTGTCAGCTTTGTTGTCAACATCTGCTTTCAAAAGAAGTTCATTTATAGGTTTCTCGTTTAAAGTTCCTTTTGTTGGATTTATACAGACAGTATTGTTCTTCTTGTCTTGAAACAGAAACTCATCTGTCATTGGGTTTAATGTCAGTTTTAAGTTTCCTTCTTCAATGACTCAGATATCTTAGAATAGTTTGAAAAGTTTGTTGTGTTCTTATTTAGAGCTTGCATAATGAGTTGTCGGTTGTGTTGTATTTCTCTTATGGAAGCAATATCTTTCGACATTTTTATTCTAGATAAAATATGCTTTCAATAGAAAAAGAAAATTCAAGAGTTGCTACAACTAAACCATTAGATGAACTTTTTACTAATGTCGGTCAAAAGTTTGAGACAGAGACCGTAAAGCATGAAGGCTATCGTTTTGACTACCCATTAAGATGGTTAAGAGACCCATCTGTCACAAAGCTATTGGCTTTCGTAGAATGAAGTTCATTTCAGAAGCCATACATGGTTTCCCATTTACGGTCGTTTTGAAGTTCGATACTATAACAAAGAAAAACGTATGTATGAGAAATTTGAACAGGGAAAACTTTACAAGTTAGTTTGCTTGTAAACTTAGAAACAACTCTTCAAGCTTTTCAAAGAAAAAATAAACGATATCTATATCGAATATGCAAAACAGTATAAACATTGACGAAGGAGAATACCATCTCGATATTATTTATGACAGGAAAAATGCAACTGTTAAAATCAATAAAATAGAAGACCTTGGAGAAACGTTTATATTCTACAAAATATAACAACTTGGCATGGTATAGATTTATGAGGATGTTAAATCAGCCTGCAGCATATCCAGTACACCCAGACTTTTATGAAGTCGAAAACCCTAATGGAACATATGAAAATGTTTTCGACCCAGCTGCTATTATTGTTCATGCTTCATTTTCTGGCGCCCAAAACTCTTTCTTATGCTTGGCAAATGACTTTTACGAAAAACCTACAAAGTTATACGAACCACCAAGTGGAAGTATTTCAGACTTTCAAGTATGGTTTACTACAGATGGAAGAAAAGAATAATTCCATTATACCATGCGTTTTACTTAGAACTTAGTTTCATATACAACTACTATCGAACGGTAAAAATATAATTTTTTAATACGGTTGAGTGTGTTGGATTTGGTTGCCAACTAGACTGTGGTGCAGGTTCAGGCTGTTGTATAACAGGAGCTTGTTCTTCTGGTTCAGGGTCTTTAGTATAATACCAACGAACTGACCTACCCTTTTACCAATATTTTTGACACCGTTCCAAATTCCTCTTCGACAGATTTTATTCCATTCCATATACCTCTTCCAACTCTTCTGAAGAAGTTTCCAATACTACTGAAGAAACCCATTTTACTATATGTAAAAATCTAATGTCCGCCTAGTCTCTTACGTTTCCTGTTGAGTTCCATAGCATTCTTTAACTGGAGCTCATACATTCTGTTTCTCCTCTGGTAGAAAACATATTCTGGGTCAACTCCTGTGTTCGCGTCATCTGCATAAAGTTGTTATATCCCACTTCAGGGTTTGTATAAAACTCTTTCCATCTCATATTTGCATACCATGGTGGCAAACCTAACGCAGCGTCATTTGACATGGCAGTTTGCATTTGTACATCTGTTGGCACTTGACCATAGTTTGCCATTGCAGTTTGTATTCTAACTTCATTTGGAATATTCTCTGGGTTTGGTTGTCCAGGTTGCTGTGCATTCGCTAAGTTCTGTGCGTCCATTTAATATTAGATAAAAATATCTCTTACGAGTACATATACTGAACATTTGCAGGCATTGGTTCATCTTCATATTCTCTGTACTTTTCTGCCACGTCAAATAAATAAATGACACAATGGAAAAAACCTAAAACAAGTAGTCCTATTTCAAACCACATTTACTTACTAATAAATTTCTTTGTTATGACACTTTCTCCGGTTTATAGGACCTCTCTCATATTCTATCTTGTCATATATAAACTCATAGTCATGTATGTCCTCTAACCATCTCATAACGGTTTCCAAACCACTTTTATCGGATGTAAAGTAAAAGCATGGATGGTTATGTATAACGTCTAAAGTTTCTAAAGAGTCTCTCAAAGTCCAGTCTACTTGGTATTGAAAATCCCATGTGTTATAGAACGGCGGGTCCACTATAAAGAAAACATTTTCCTTGTCTTTATATTTTTCATACAAATCTGTCCAATGACATCTCACAAATTCTATACCCTCAATATATTTTTCTATGTTCTCTTTGAAAACATTTGTATAGTTAAGATATAAAACTTTTGACATAAGTGTTTCAATGTCATGAACTCTTATAGCACCACTATATAATAGTCTAGCAGATATACTATCCCAGTCTATATATTCTGCTTTTTTCAAAACCTCTCTCACAATATTTTTGTTATCTAATGGTATACGTTCCATCTTACCTATCTGAATCTTTTCTTTTAACTCTTTCAATATATTGTTTGTGTCTGGAATATGTTTGAGACGGTTCATATAGTTGTCGAAGTCATTGCATATAATCTTTGAGTCTGGGAATATTGTATGACATAAATGGGATATATAGAAACTTCCACCGAACAAATCTACAAATGTTAGACCATTCGGTAGTTTCTTAAGTTCTCTCAATATAATATCTTTACATCTACTCTTATTTCCAAAGAACGGTAACGGTGGTTTTGTAAAATTCATTTATATATAATAATAAAAATGTTTTTTCCTGAAAAGTGACAGAAAAGTGACAAAACATGAAAACATATATAATTTGTGAAAAGTGAAACATTATATAATGTTTTCGACCCAGAAGAAGGCTTCTTCCCAGAAGCAATGGAGGAAGAAGAAGAGTCCTCCGAATTCACACCAGAAGACTAACAATTTTCCGAATAAAAACTTCATTTATACTAAACATCTTCGGGGCTAGAGGGCACGAAGTGCCTGGAAGCCCCACTACCTTTTTTTTTGAATTGTAATTGAAAATTACGATTTTTCGTGTGACTTTTTCCCTCAATTTTTGAAAAAGTCAGCGTGAAAAACTTACCACCTTTTTTACATTTTTGAATTGAAAATTCAAAAATGTAAAAAGGATCGTCATTCTTTACGCACTTTTTCAATAAAATTTTTCATTTTTATTTTGAATACTTCACAAATTGAAAAAGTGAAAAAGAACTGATTCTTTTGATCTTCAAAATTTTTGGAATCGAATTTTACATAATTCGATTCCAAAAATTTTGAATTGAAAAAAGAATTTTTATTTTCATAAACTCTAATCAAATTAATTGACACTTTTTTACAATGTGGTGTTTTATGATATTATTGTTGAAAACAATGAAATTAAATAGCAATTTTCAAAATATAGTCCAAAAACACATATCAACTATGAATAATTTACACTTTGATCAATCACCTGCTGATGTTTGGGAACTCTTTTACAATACTCCACCTAATTCAGAACCAATTCAAGGTACAAACGTGGAAGCGACATCAACAAATGATGAATGTTTCTTATATAAATGTTTGTTCATTGATATTACAACTAAGAGTGCCATTTATTTTAATTCTTGGGAGAAAAAGTTTCTTAACTCAGATTGTTCATTTACTAACTGCAGTAGTATTGCAAATGGTGGATCTATCTACTTTAATTGTGATAGTTCTATTGTCCAATACCGAACATGTGGCTACAAATCAAAAACAAACTCTGATAGAGGACATCATTCATATGTTTACATAATTAGAAATTCAAATAATAATAAAAATTATCTTTATGAAAGTTCTTTTAATGAATGCGGAAATTTTAAAAAATCTTATACAAATTTTCTTGATAAAGGAAATATTGAAGTTAAATCAATCAACACAAGTTTCTGTGAAGCAATTTCTCAACCAGGAATATATCTTACAGAAGCGGGAAATCAATGCAACGTAACATACTCATCATTTTATAAGACAATATCAAAAGAAGGCGCTTTAATGACAGAATTTTGTGATATTAATTTTAATATGAATTTTAAATTTTGTAATGTTTTGAATAATGAGCACGCAAAAACTTATATAGGAACTTTCTCTGCGCGTGAATCAACTAATCTTATTGAAAACTGTTCTTTTCTTGGAAATACAGGACCCGGAAAAGAATTTTATCATCAATATTCTGGTTCAATAACAGTTAAAGATTCTTTCTGTGACAGGCCATATAATTCGTTCGGAACAGTTTATTGGAATAATATTCAAAATACATGTTTTATTCAAAATCTCACTCACTTTTCAACACATCTCTGTGAAGCAGGATTTATTACTAAATGTAAAGGACCTGAGAAATCTGCTTCCAATGCGATTCATCAATTATCATTTTCCATGAGACGAGTGCGTTAATTTTTCAAGAATTTATTATTATCATTTTTTATTAAAAAATAAAAATAATAAAAAAAACATTTATTTAAAAGAAGATTAATGATATCTTCGTTCTTTGTCTGGAGTGCGACGTCTTTAGCTGTGTGTCCTTCGCTGTCAACAACACTCAAATCGAGATCTTCACGAGAAAGGAGAACTTTGACAACTTCGATTTTTTCGTTTTCAATAGCGTTGAAAATAGGAGTTCGCTTCATCAAGTTCTGACGGTTGACATCGACATTTTCGTGTTGAAGCAACTCTTCGACGAAACTAGTTGAGCCGCATTTAGCGGCAACATGGAGAGGTGTCCACTGGATTGAGTCGACGCAGTTCAAGTCAACGTCATCTCGATCGGCGAAAAGACGGATTAAGTCTGAGAAATCATTAGATGCAGCGATGTGAAGAGGTGTGAAACTAGAATCATCAGGAAGTTGTGGATTGACATCTTTGTCGTTCAGAAGACACTCAACGCACTGTTTGTGGTGGAGAAGAACTGCGTAATGAAGAGCACTGCGATTCTTCTTGTCGACGATGTTCTTCTCGATGCCTGGAAAACTCAAGAGAAGTTCTAAAGCTTCGAAATGTCCGTCACGAGCTGCCCGGATCAATGCTGTACGTGATGAGTTGTTAGTGGCATTGACATCAATGGATGGATCAGAAAGAAGAAGTCGCAGAACACGTGTGTGACCATTAATTGCTCTCAACATAACACTTTAATTGTCAACATCTTCTTACAATTAAAGAATTCTGTAACAAATTCAATTTATTTGATTTATCAGATACTAATGTTTTAAAAAAGCATATTGTTTTGATCAATTTCATCTAATTCAATATTGCATTCTATTACTGCTACTAAACAATTCATTGTTTCGGCATATTCCATACAATTCGTATTTGTCAAAAAATTAAACATCAAATCCCAAATAGGATATAAATGATTTTTGTAGATACTAATTCTCGAAATTAATGTAGAGATGTTGGATATAAGACTAGTCATATATTAAGGGTGCACACGAGAGGATCATGTAAACTTCAGAATTTAGAACCTTATTTTTAGGCATTATCTTGGCTACCTATTTAGGCTCGAAAAGCAAAAAAATATCAAAAAATACAACTTGACTCCATTATGACCCTTTCATGGAGGTAGTTTTTATCCGCTAGTATTTTCCCTTTGAATCTCTTTACAATTCGAAATCAAATTCAAATCTCAGTAGAAGAAAGGAAGAATCGACTTACTACGGTTGTAATACGAATAAATACATATATTTAATTATTTTTATTTACATAATAATTGTTTGAAGCTCATATTCCATCAAATTTTTAAATAAAAACATTAAAATGTTGAAAATGTTCATATATTTTAATAGGGTTTTGGCACTTTATTGAGGAATTACTACATACATAGTCGAACTGAACTTGATGTTTTGAAATTTAAATTATTTATCAAAATTAAAATTTAACTTGAAATTTATAATTATTTAGTCATATTTTGCATAATTCTAAGTAGATTTTGTAAAAAATCAAGAAAGAAAAATTTTAACGTGCTTTATTTTTTCTTTTTTATAATAATACATATTATTATATAATTAACATATTCATAATGTTTCACCCTTTCAAAAATATAATCCTCCTCCTCTCAAATAAACGTACATACGGGTGGCCTCTTTTTTCAAAAAATTAAAATTTGAAATTTTGGGCTCAAATATTTAGGGCTGTACAAGATTTAAAAAAACATTGCCGGGTTACCGTAGAGGCCTAAAAAAATCGCGCCTCGGCGGCAAGCCGCCTCGGCATTAAGAATGCGCATCTAAATTTTTATATGTCCTTCTTTCTTTTATTTTTCCCTTCCCTTTCTTTTCTTTTTCTTTTTTTCCCTCCTCTTGCTCTCATTTACCTTTTTTTCCTTTTCTCATCATTTTTCAAAATTTAAAATTTTTATCAAAAATCTTGCCTATAAAAGCAGACTATGGAACCTTTTAATGCCTCTTAATCAATATTATACAGCATAAAGCATATTAAATGAAAGTAATTACGTATAAATTTATTTTATTATCTTATTTATTAATTCTTTAGCATGTATTGTTTAATATTAACTTTTCTGTACATTAAATATGATATCTCCAAAGTATGAATGCCTTGTAACGAAACGAAAACTTAATTTTATGTTGAATATTTGTCACAAACATTAGATTATTAAAATATATGTTGGATATCCCTTAGTATGAGACTTCATGACTCTTGTTGTCTAACGTGAGCTTTGGATTGCAAGCTCTGTGGTTAACGAACATAAATTAATTGTAAAGTTTTCAAAAATTTTCATCGTTTCTATCAGCATCTATTTTTCCTTTAAAATAATATATTTGTATGAATACAATATTTAGTAATTTTTTTATTTCCCATAATTTCATTCAAAATTTCAGAAAAAATTAATTTCTATTCAATATTATTTCAGCTTCAAAACACTTCATTCTTATAGATGTTGATTCACTAAAGTGTGATTCTATTTATATGAGGTAGGGGCATGAGGCTCGGCAAGTCTTATTGCTTTTTACCTCAATTTAGGTATTAAATAATTATAATGATTCATAGTGGCCGCTGCTGACTGGCCATCAGCAGTCCCCTGGCCAAGATTAATATAATTATTTAATACTTATCCAGTTTTACATCAATAACAACAAAGCTAATAATCAATCATCATTCAGAAATGCGGGAAATTACTACTAATATTAAAGATTGATAGACATTAGGCTGGCCACCTTCTGTCTAATATCTTTACGAATAAAAATAATACTTTTTAAAACAAATTATTTAATAAATTTTATTAAAAAAAAAATCAAATATCAAATTGATCATCATTCAACTTGATGAAGAAGCGGCATGCTACATATTCTTCTTTGCATGATTCGTTCATTGAATTTCTTGTCTTTCGCAATTCAGATATTACACGTTCTACATCTGCTTCACTGCACGAAAGTGACATCATCCTTTTTCCAATTGGTCTTATTGCTTTTAGTTGCTTTATGCCATTCATGTACCAAAACTTGCCATCATTTTGAGCAAGATGATGACCATTTATAAGATGGGAATCATCTTGCTCTATGAAGAAATCGTAAGCATCACTCAATTCCTTGGCTCTATCGTCTTTATTGATCGTTGGATCAACTGTTGATTCGGCAATTGCTCTTTGTCTGAGGATTGTTATCATGAATGTGTATAGATCTTTTATCTCTTCATCTACAACATCCCAGACCAAGGAATTCCTCGAACCATCGGCATTTGTTTCGGCTGCATGATCGTCGTTAAGCATTTGTTCCTCTTCTGCTTGCTGGATCTCTTCATCATGCTCGGCTACCTCGTCAACACGTTCTGTTCGTTCTTCTTCAAGGATTTCGCCGAGTTTCTCAAATGTGATCTCGCGATTGATGATCCTCAGGGAAGGAATCGTTGGGACTTGCACATCTTTCAACTGCATTATAGGTGGATAGCTTTCTTTCCTCCAAAACCCTTCTTGTCTCTGATGATCTTCCTTGCTAACGGTGTAAAGCCGAAAGCAAACCGAAGCAAATCAATTCTACCATATTCTTTCATATCATTTTTGAATATTGTAGTGATTGATCGGAGAATCTCTTCACCATCTGGCGTTAATCTTCCTGCCATTTCATCCAACATCCCTTGGCACTGTTGTATCATCAGGAATGCATAAGCACCCATGGACTTGTTGGATTCCAGCCATAATTGAAGTTGCTTTAATGGCTTGAATATCATTAAAGCATCTTTAAAGAGTGGAGGAATTCCATCACGTGTCCATTGTAACTGTTCACGTGTAGCTCTGGAAAGGGATAGTGGAAGATCTCCACTTCTTAAAGCAGTATTAATTGTTTCCAGATTATCAAAGATGAAAAACAGAGTATCATATATGTAGAGCCAGCGAGTTTCCGGGATTGATGGAACCCTGATCTTGTATCTCGCTCTCATATCGTGATTCTTAAAGATAATGATAATCTGGTGAACTCTATTCATCAGTTCATTCAACAATGGACATTGCTTACGTGCGTGGACAATAGCATTGTTCAAGACGTGGTTAAGGCAACGAATGTACACGGTTTGTAAGCCAGGGAAAAGGGCTCCTTCTGGCCTCCAGTGGCAGAGTCCTTTAACCTGGGCTGGCAAACCATCTCCGACTACTCCAGCTACGTGTTTTTATTAACCTTAAGAGAATCAAACCACGTATGGTAGTCCTCGTATGTCCAATTAGTCGAAATTGTTGTGTCGAAGAATTGGTGGCGATCTGTTTTGCCTGGATTGCACACACAAGAGAATAGACCATGACGGCTGCCGTGTGTTCCGCAGTCCAGGGAAATTGAGAAGATGCGGAATTCCTCGCAGAACTTTAGGCCCCGAGAGGAGTCTGTTTTGCCTAAAGTAATCAATGCCTCTCTGACACCGCGCCGTGTGAACTCAATGTCTGGGATTGTAAAGTTGATGCCCTGTTCGCGATTGACTTTATTTTTAAGCCATTTGGCGAAGCTCTCTAGGAAGCTTTTAAATGCTGGCTTCATTGTGGCATAAAGGCTTATATCTAGGCTCGCAATAAGCCTGGCAATGATCTCTTCTAACGAAGGATCATTACCAGAGCCAACTGCTTGCTGAGTATTCTCAACTTGGTGCTCAGCAGGAACGTAGTTGGGCATTGGGAGTAAAAATTTGCACTTATGATCTTTAAAATCATTTTTCCTGCTTTTTTTAATGCATCGCACGAACTGCCCTTGAACTAATGTTTCACTACATTCGGCACAGTATGTAAAGAGCCTTCCTTTGTCTGATTGATTAGGCTCATTCTCATAATAGCCGATCGTAGTGAAACATTTTTTCCACACTTTGTTTCCAATGTTTCAGGAGTTGGTGGATATTTCGTCTTCTTAAATGGAATCCACTCATCATATACATGAGGATCCCATGCAGTCATAATAAAAATAAAGCTTTTTGAATATATTCAATTTTTAAATGATATTTTCACGGTTAAATATAAAATAAAGAATAAGATGTAAATTATTAAAATATTTAATTTTAAATTTTGAACCCGTGATAAATATTTTTTTGCATTGTTATTAATAATGAAAAATAAAGCTTATTTCAATGAAAATTGTTCTGCAAATTTATTTCACTTTTGACCTCACTTTTTCCGTAATTCAATTTTTTACTTTTAATATTTTAGATCTTCATAATATCATTTGAAAAATTAACCATATAAAAAAATCAAGTTATCAATTCACTTTTTCCGTAATTCAAAAATCAAAAATATAAATAATATATCTTTTTATCAAATATATTATTATATTCTATGAAAAATGAGGTCCGGAAATTTTGCGGATTCCCGTAACTCAATTTTACGGAAAAAGTGCAGTAAACTATTCAAAATACGGGAAAATTGGTGTAAACTAATGATTTTACGGTAAAATCACGGAAAGTCCCGGAAGAATATATGTGCCTATATGAAATTATACAAAAATGAATCAAACGCATTTTAAAAGATTGTTCTTGTATTATAAATGCTATTCGCAGATTTATTAGTTGAAGAAAATTACCAAATTTTTGCCGATTTACAAAAAATGATTTACAAAGCATATTTTTATAAGGCTTAAAAAATCTTTAAAATGTCACCGGTGACGGAAATCCATGGTAACCAACCGCGGTTCCCGTTTGGAATGCCATACAAATATTAGAGATTTTTTCAACCTTCAACGATATATGTTGTCTATATCAGACCTCCTTTCTTTTTGATACTTAACATTGTTCCTAAATCTTAGCCGTTAAGGCTGTTCTGAAAATATTTTTTTTCGAAAAAATTCGAAAAAAATTCTTAAAATTCAAAAATCCCTTAATTCCTGAGGATTTTGGAAAAAAGTTTTTACATGAACATGTGTATATTATATGAAGTATATTGATAAGGTAAAAATCAAATTTTATTGCATATTCATCGAGAAAATAAACTAACGAATCCCTCAAAATTGAGAGGGTAATCCTCCTCCTCTCAAATAAACGTACATACGGGTGCACCCTTAAGTATATCAATAATATTTTCTTAGTTTACATATTATTGATATTTGTATCATGCTGAAATGTGAGATCAATTCGATTGTATCATCGCTTATCTTGATGTGGTAAATTTTTGTCATTTCAACTATAAATGGAATAATTATAGGTTCAAAACGAACAGTGTAAATGTCGTCGAACATTTCAATGCATACGAATTTGAAATCAATATGTATATCTTCTACAAGGTACTGATCAATGTATGATTTAAATTTTTAGAAAATTATCTCTGTTTTAGTTTAATAAAATAATATTGCGCGGTGAATTTGTATCTCAAAATTATGTAACTGTATCGGTAACAACTTCAAATGTCTTATTGACAAGATTTGTAAAAAAAAATCAAAAATATACTTGAGATCATATAAATGTGCTCTTCTCTTTATAACGTAAGAATTGATCAAAGATAACATGTGTACTACTGATTGATTTTGGAGGATTGCTATGATTAGAGACGATTTGATTAAATAATTCAATGAAAAATGGACTATTTGATTCATCAATTAGGAGATTCGATTGTTTGTATTCGATTGCACTTCTGCATTTGGTGAATTAGTTGTATCGTAAATCAAGGAAAGTTAATCATCTGCTGTGATACTCTTAAAAAATTAAAAGAACGAATTTTTTTTCTAAATACAATTAATGGCATCAGATGATTAGATTACTTTTTTAGAAATCATCAATCAAATTTGGCATATTTTTGAAAGAATATCTAAAGACAAGACACCCAATAAGAGTTTTTGTGCATACGGTTCTCGGGCGCCTATGTCACATTCACAAAGGACTCCGTCTTTATTAGCAAACTCAGAAGAAATGTTTAACCAAAAGAAAAATTATTTCATCAAGACTAATAAATGTTTTAAAAAAGCAAATCACATCATTAACATATCAGTTTTAATTACAAAACTCAACGATACATAACAAATTTCTTCGAAATTTAAATTCTCATTAAAAAATTCTTTTGATACAAATTAAATAGCTACATATTCGATTTTCCCATTGATACGAACTTATTGTTTTCATTCAAGATTTACAAGAAATCAAATACTTATTTCACAACAACAAATATCTATTTTTACTCAAACACGAGCATGTATTTACTAATAAATTCATGTTTTTACATCATTACATTTGACAATACTATCAAAACAACCCCAAAATCAAACTAATTTTCGATATTCTTTATTCAGACCAGAGAATTCATATAAATCATCGATTACTCAAATTTAAGTATTCATTTAATGTAATAATTGTTAGATATTAGGCGTTTTATATAAAAATTCTCCCTATTTCAAATTTTCAAGCGAATTAAGTCGATATTTCATACATTTTATAATATACAAATCATGTGTAAGTACAATAGCTTTAATTATTTACAATATTGATCATTTTATTACGAAATCCAAAAATTTAATCAGCAAAATCGATGTTTTTATATAAGATTAGAATGATTTACATCATTGTTTCCATGCACTAGCTGTTAAAATGCTGATGACAGCTAAAAGAATCGCAATTTCATAACTTGAATATAAGATTCAAATGAATCGGCATTATTTGACATTTACATCATTGAAATGTCAAATAATGCCGATTCATTTTTTTGATGAAAACAATGAAATTCAATCACGATTTTCAGATAACAGTATCAAAACACACATCAACTATAAATAATTTACACTTTGATCAATTACCTAATAATGTTTGGGAACTATTTTACAATACATCACCTAATTCAAAACCAATTCAAGGTACAAATGTTACAGCAAGATCAACAAATAATGAATGCTTCTTATATAACTGTATATTCATCACCATTACGACCAATAGTGCCATTTATTTTACGAATACAAGAAATAAATTTCTTAACTCATATTGTTCATTTACTAACTGCAGCAGTAATACAAATGGTGGATCTATATACTTTTCCTGTGATAGTTCCATTGTCCAATACCGAACATGTGGCTATAAATCAAAAACAAACTCATATGGGCATCATTCATATGTAGAATTAGTTTCTAAATCAAATAATAAAAATTATCTTTATGAAAGTTCTTTTTATTTATGCGGAAATTTAGAAAAATATTGTACAAATCTTCTTTGGTATGGAAATATTGAAGTTAAATCAATCAACACAAGTTTCTGTGAAGCAGCTGACTCAGGAATATATTTATCCAACAAGTCTAAGTAATGTAACATATTCATCATTTTGTAACACAACATCAAATTATAGAATTTTAGAATTAGATTATGGTAACTATAATTTTAATTTTTGTAATGTTTTGAATAATGAACTCAAAATCTAATATGGAACATTCTATGCAGATGAATCAACTGTTCTTATTGAAAACTGTTCATTTCTTGGAAACACAGGACCAGGAGTAGAATTTTGTCAAGATTATTCTGGTTCAATTACAGTTAAAGATTCTTTCTGTGACAGAATAATAGGTAAAACATATCAATCAGTTATAACAAATAATGTTAAAAATATATATTCTATTCATAATCTTTCTCACTTTTCATCATATCTGTGTGAAGCTGAGTTTCCTATTATAGATAAAAAGCCTATGAGATCTGCTTTTGATTTATATCATCAATTTTCCTTTAGACGAAGGCGTTAATATTCATGATTTATGAATTTATATAATCAAAAAATTGTAATTAAAGACCATTATTAACGAAAGCATTCATCAATTGTTTAAGGCTCCGGTCCCACCCTCTCAATTTTAAAAGTTTTAATATCTCCACCAATATGAGTTTTTGATACTTTTATTTTAGTACATAATATCATTATGTAATACACTATAGTATAGTATATTTAAACTGAGTATTACTATTATAGTTCATCTTATCTGAGAATTCGGTATTTTGACAAATTTCAACTTTGACCGGTAAAACTATTTATAATCAAAAAAGCCCACGACATTTTATAG